CCCCCGTAGTATATTGAATGACTCGACATGGCCTTTCTTTAGCACTTGCCAGATGCCTGGGTGGGGCTTCTCTAGAGACCTACAGAGCTAGAGCTCAGTCCTTCAAGCTGAGGCTTATAGTGGACACCCACACGAGGGCTGTGCATGAACAGTCACAGCAGCTCCGTCTGTAAAACCAGCACCCAGAAGTAGCGCTTCATTATCTATTGCTGCGTGAAACATTCCTTCTGAAAACAGTGTATGGTTCCTGTGGCACAGACATCTTGGCATAGCTAGCTGAATGTCCTGCTTCGTGGCTTCTAACAAAGTTGTCGTGGTGAAAAGCTTGCTGGTCTGCAGGCCCAACTGATCGAGGATTTACTTTCAAATGCATTCACACTTCCAGCTCCTCGACATTAGGGAAAGAAAGCTGTGAGAAGAACGAGAGGTGAGCAAGATGAATCAGTCGTTGTTACCCAGTCGCAGAACTAGACACCAACATTTGTCCTATTCTGTTAGAAAACAGCAGTTACTAGGTTTAACACAGTGTGGGGAAGAACATTTCTCAAGAACGTGAACACCAAGAGGCAGGGATCCCTGCAGTTCATGTCAACAGCTGCTTAGCACGAAACTAGATATCTACATAGGATGAAAATGGATAAAAAGGTTGTGATTTATTTAAACACAATGTAATACAACACAATAGTAAAAAGGAATAAATTATTTATGCAACTGTATGAGTCTAAATGATCCTGAGATGAAGAAGCTAGGCCGAACATAAGCATACTGATTCTCTTTGTATGATATCCTAGAAAATATAACCCCGCCCATAGTGGTTCAGGATTCCTTAAGGTCCGAGTTCGGTAGAACGGAGCCTTGGTGGCACAGTGAGTTACACATTGGGTTGCTCAAAAACCACCAGGTCAGCACTGAAAACCACCAGCTACTTCCAGGGAATAAGACGAGGCTCTCGAAAATGTGGTGAAGAAAGCTGATGGTGCCCAGCTATAAAGATAGAGTGCCTGGCATGTTAAAAGCTTGTATTTAAACAAGTGATCATCTAGCAAAGAAGCAACAAAGCCCACATGGAAGAAGCACACCAGCCTGCTCACACATGAGGTGTCGACAAGAGGTATCAGTAGTTCAAAAACAAGCAACCAAGTCGATGTGAAGGGGCACGGATACAGTGAAGACTTAAAACGCACCTGTCAGATCATTGCATAGTCCCTCCCAGAAGGGCCACACAAAAGGGATGATAAGCCCAGGGTGCCATATGGCACCACATAACTATCCTCTAGTTCTTTAATATTTCCTCCCCTTCTACAGTCTCAGAAACCTACAGGGCCAGTGTTACTCTGTCCCATAGGATCACTGTGAATTAGTCTTTATTCAATAGCGAGGAATTGAGTTTGGATTGGGTGGCTACAGAAGAGCAGGCAGGAGAGATTGCAAAGAGGTACAAGAGAACTCTAGAGTGATCTTGAACATGTAACAGTCTCCGTCACCCCAGAATGTAGAGGAGAACTTTCTAAGTCACTGCAGCAGTCTGGTTTTAACTTAGTAGGAGCATAGTGGCTATTAGGAGCACTGGGCTGCTAACTGCAAAGTCAGCAGGTCAAACCATTAGTTGTTCTGAAGGAGAAAGACGGGGCTTTCTACTGCAGTAAAGAGTTACGGTCTCGGAAACTCACGGGCAGCTCTACCCTGTCCTATAGGGTTGCTATGCGTCAGCATCGACTCCCTGGCAATGAGAATTTTTGAGAGGCTTGTTTACTATTCAAACACCCGTTACCCCAGATGCCAGCAATCTTTGTATACAAACCCTGAGTATGCAGAAATGTGAAAATATTCAAGAACCATGTTCTGACAGGGAAACAAAAGACACTGGGAGTCGGCAGTGTGTGGTGGCGACTAACAAAAGCGGCAGTATCAAGCGCCCTCTGAATGACTAATCTTGGTAACTCAGGCAACTGGAGGTAGTCTGTCCACTTGGGAGACTGAAACAGTGGATTTCTGGGCCCTCTTCATCCTCAAAGGGAGGAGTTGAAGTCTAGGGGAGGTGTGGGCTTTGTCCCAGATCATAGGATCAGGCTTGCCACAAAATGATTGAGGTAAATGACTTATTTTAAAAATATTTCGCAGGCCTGTCTGGATACGACAGGCTGGATGAACAATCTGGAGGAGAAAACAACGGGACTGACAGTTCCGGGGGGACATGGGAGAGGGGGAGGAGGGGGGAAGG